ATATATATATATATATATATATATATATATATGTATATATACACGTACCTCAAAACAGGATCAATTATAATTATTATTGTCAGCAAATGTTATATCAGTTACCACATTCAAAGACTAATACTCAAAGCCAAAACTATATCCTTGAAAACATACAAGAACGCATACACAAAGTAGTGCTAGCACAAATCAGTTTAGTACTATTAATTTCTTAACTTGAAGGCAAAGTTAATATTTGCTTTAAAGAAACATGTCCACGAGCTAGCAGAATCCGAGTCTACAGATACTTCTTGTAAGCAAACACCATGTACTATCAAAATTATTTTCCCTGACAAATAACACAATAGACTAAGTGGAACCACAGTAGTGGTAAAGTTCAAGGTCAGTCTTATCATAAGTTTTTCTATTAAAAATTTATAAATGTTGAAAGAAATAGAATACATCTTGGAAATTGATTTAACATGATTAAGAGATCAGTGAAACTGCCACACCTGGGGATGAACTTTGACAACCAAATGACCATTTATTCCACCTAGGAGAAGAGCAGTAATATCTACACATTTACTTCCCAAATAGAGTTGGTAGTGGTTGAATATCTGCATATTTTAATATATTTTTTTTAATTGCGTTACAGGTTTCACTTTCTTTATGGGGTTTCTGCAAGGCTTAATAGAATTTCATAGAATGTGAATGTTGTTGTACGAGTAGAAACTCTTCAAAAATATTAAGCTGGAAATGTGAGCTTATTACCTGTATACAGTTTAAAATTTATAGTCCTAAGATATATTTTATTGCTTCACTGTACAGATTGATATTTATAGTAATTATAATGTAAACTTGTAATAGATCAATTAGGTCACATTTTATTACAACAAAATTGATGTTGACTTGAAAGCTAATAAACATAAAGAAATGTGTATCCAAAAATGTATTACACATTTAGTATGTGTAAGCTTATGAAGAAGTACACAATTAAACTTCATGTCAAAATATGTGTTGTAAAATATATATAGTGGGTTATAATGCATGTTAATTTGGCCAGGGCTTCTATATTATGATAAAAAAAGAACTAATGAACTAACAAAGACACCCAGTTGTGAAAATAATAAGACATAAAATACTGAAGTCTCAGAACAGTGCCAATAACATTTACAGTCTATTATGACAAGAACTACAATAAAGCCATTGTATTACTTTTGTATTTTAACAGTGATAAAAACCTTAAACAAATTCAGTAATAACCTTTATTTTATTCTCTCAGTACATTGATTTTAATGCATAAAATAATTACAAAGTCTCACATTGTGATGATTCTAGAAATATACTGGATTCATAAAATTTGGCAAAAAACAAGGAATATTGACAATATCCTCACAGGCATTGTGGAAAAAAAGCTTCGTGACTTTATGTACACATAAATTAAAATGTTTAAACATTTATAAATCTTCATGTATTTACATGACTGAGACAGTCGAAACTTCTTTTATAACAGCTGATTACACTTTGTAAATATGTATATCGAGTATACGCAAGTTTGTCTTTTAAGTTTATTTCTATTCCCTACTGAAAAAGGAATTATTGAATTTAGAAACACTTGAAGAGTTTTTAATTGTTAGTGCTGTTTTTTTCTTTATAATAAAATGTACAGCTATATATAGATATATATATGTATATTTTTAAGTATATACAACCTATGTACAGAACTTACAAATATGAATATTCATGAAAGAGTTGTTTACTACCTTTGACCATGAAATTAGTAAATGCCTTCTATATTTTGAATGGGTACATTACGAACAATAGATACTTAGTCAAGATTTGATATATTTATTGTTATACAATATACACTTTTCATTTAGTTTTGGAATACTTTAATTCTGAGCCAGGACCATCAAAAAGTTTGTTTCGTGTTATCAAACATCTATACTTCTTGTAGGATCACTACATTTGCTGACTCGTAGTCCAAAAGCTCTATATGTTTATCACTAAAAACTGGCTCAAGACAAACCCTGGTTGTTAATACAGTGCATAACGCTATTCATGTTTGACACAATTTTGGTAAAACTGTTAGCCCCTATTTTGGTGCCCCCTGTAGTTCACTGTTGTCACCTGCTAACAGACTACTTAGGTATTGGTTAAGAACTGAAATGACTAGAATTATTCAGTCTACAAATCTCCATATTCCTTTGAGTCAGTATCAAACATGCCTAGTGTCATGATGTGATTGGTTATACCTAATATGAACCTGATGATGCGGTCAAATTTCAATTATAAAATTAAAAAAGGGGGAGAAAAATTCCCATGTCTAATTAAAAAAAAAAAGACTCCTAGAATTTTCTACCTACTATCTCAAACTTGTCACCATGATATATCAGTAGATACCAATGTGAAATCTCACAAACATTATGAATGATATGACTGATTATGATACAAGCACATTCACAATATAACTGCTGTTATTTGTTTTATAAAATGGAAATGACAAGCAAAACCTCTTTCCACTTAAAAAATTAGCAACTTCTCCAGGCACTAGAAGTGGACAGATGTGACTATTTAAAAAAAAAACCTTCAACTTTTCCATTTAGATAATCCACAATTCCAACTATAAAATGTGAATCTCCATTTTAAAATACAGCAACACATTTAAGTATCAAATCAAACATTACAGTTCTTTCAACAACCATATGTTCAAAACTTTTGCTAACAATACAGCAAGTCTGAGGAAAAAAAAAAGGATTATCATCGTATTTTACATAAAACAAAAACATCCTAATTTACTCAAAGATTGCATAGTTGCAACTAATTCACATACTCTTAATAGCTGACTCAAAATATATATACATCTCTTCATATTCTTTCATATCTGTTCATAGCAAAATGCATTTGTTCAGAAAATAACAGCTGCCTTAAAAGTAAGTTCTGCTCAAATTATATACATCTGATACTACAGCACAACCCAAATGGGCACTAGCTCACACTTTCATAAATATAATTAATTTATACATCTCTTAAGAAAGGTAAAACTGTTCTTCATAAAGAAACAGTGAACAATAAACAATGAAAGATATGCTTGACTATGTTATGAAGACATGTTTTAATCTTTGTCAACGACATTACTATAAGTGAAGTTCTCAAATTTTCTCTCAAATCAAACTATTTTGGAAACATCATCAAAAAGAAGCTTAAGATTTGAGAAAGCAAACGAAAAGAACAATTGTTAGGATAAATGTTTATCTATCTATTGCTGTTCAAGTACTTTTAAAAGTGCCTGGTTTCATGCTGAAACATATATAATCACAAAAGTTTCATTTTCACAAGTACACAGCTGCTTCACGTTCCTTGTCAAAGAAGTGAACAAAAACATCTTTTTTTAATCTACTTCACAATCAAATGTATTTAAACGCTAATGTTTTTGATCACTGCATGAGTCCTGTAAGTTCAAGTTTATGGGTCTTTTAACTTTTACCCATCACTACGCACTTGACTCTGTTGTTTTGGCAGATGGTGTAAAATGAAGTCTGAAATGACCTGTAACAATAAATCACACTCATTAGTAATGTTTTAATAATATAGATTATTTTTCATTACCATAAAAAACAACAACATCAGAAATGAGAATACATCAAGTTCATGCCACTTCATTTTTTTTTAAAAGAGATGCTCTGGCCAGAACTTCAAAGTACTCAGTGAAATAATTTCTTGCTTAAAAAAAACACAATAATGCAAGTATTCAGCCTTGTCCTGGTAGACAACTGGATGCTAAATTATTAATTATAAATGATCATCACTTTATCTTTACACAGTCTTTATCATCAAAAGTGACAGCTTCTGTTAAGTTGTGATAAACCCTCTTCAAATCTTTTAAATAATTCAGCTAGTCTAAGACCTTCTTAGTTTATTTCTTCCTCTACATAACTTCTGCTAATTCCTGAAAAAAGAAGTTACTCCTTTTGAATGGTTTCAGTGGATGAGAACAAATTTTCCAAAATGTATAAATGTTGTTAATTTTACATGTGGAAATTCCAATGGGAAACTTATTCTAAGTCACTAAAATATCTCACTTGTTCCTGGAAAGTACAATTTACCACAAAATGTCTCACAAGTTCTAAAAAGAATATTACTCAATCCTCCAGAATGATGTTAAGCCACAAAAAAATTTCTTCTAAAAGAAGTAATTTCTCCTGGACATATAGAAACAGCAAAGAGAAAATTTCACAAGTTTTATAAAATATCTTACTTCTCTTTGGAAGTACAATTTTTAAAAGATGAAATTACTTTCTACTCAATGACGGTGTCATCTTAAAAGGGTATTTTTTCAAGTCCTGAAGAGGATGTTACTTAATCTTCCAGGATGGTGTCATCTCAAAAGGATATTTTTTATGTTCTGAAGACAATGATATTTGACTCTTCACAGAGGTGTCATACCACTAATAAAAATTCTTCAATGTTCAGAAAATAATACTAATAATTCTGGATGTTTTTCCACAACAAAACTTTTTCCAAGTCCCAATGATAATGTTATTAATCCTGAATGACATTACCATTCTTGAAAATTTCTGCTAAATCTGGTATCAATACTCATAAAAAAATATCAAGAATTTATGCCTCTCCAATAAAACATCAAATGCTATAACAATCAAAGTATTACTAAAATAAAACAAAACATAACTACAACAAACGTGAGAGTTTAGTTTTTAAGTCACCAAACTGAATTTGGTAACAAAGAAGCTATGAATCAAATTTCACCTTTCTGTGTTGAATTATTAAAGACATACAAGAGCTTGCTTCAGTTTTTTGGCATCTCTTGAAGTATAATATCTTAGGTAACTGATGGTATTTTAAGGCTTAGTGGTTACAGAATTTTTATACCTTTTCTACATAATTAGCATTCTTTGATGGCAGATGGCTGGCTATATGTATAATGAACAAGTGAAAGCCAAAAACACAAAAATTCAGCTTCAGCAATTAAGAAAAGATGATTGAAAAACAAACTTTATAGAAAAATGTCACTTTTTCTAATGTGAATTTTATAAATTTATCCCTACTTTGTTCTAGTAAAATCTTCTAAAGAAACTTGAGTATGGTCAAGTTGATTAAACTGTGTGTATTCTACAAACTAAATCATATTTTAACTTTAACTCCCAACTAATAAACAAGCTGCCAATTATAACTAAAGCCATATGCCAACAACAGTCATTGAAGTACACATATCCTACTTACTATAACATAGTCAATGAAACTAAAATAAACATTATAAATAAATATTAAGTTATTTGAGCATGTTATTTCCCTTCCTAAATGTACTCTTGGAGGAATTATTAAAATGCATCACCTAAAGAAGGATATGTTGGGATTAAAATATTGTGCATGTTTCTTTAAATTAGCCTACAAGTTATTTCAACACATCAATAAACAAAACTAACCTGTTTTTATCTAATGATATCAAAACATACACACTGTCTGCATATCAACACAACAATTGAATTATGTATAATGTATTTGAACTGGTGAACTTGCATACCTGATTTGGTCATTTCATCTAGAGTGGCACTTTTACATTCGTTTCCTCTGTGGCCAATAGCACCACAGTTATAACAAGTCACTGGTTTACTGAGGGCAGGAAGAGGTACTGACTGATTGTGGGGATAGCTAGAACCACTCCCAAGATATCCCAGATAAGGAGTAACAGAAGGTGTTGGGGGTGGTGGTCCTGAAGGGGATGGTAATGGGAAACCCTGAGGAGGATATACCATTTCAGGGGATACTGCAGCATTCATACCATTAGGAAGGTGAAAAGGAAAATTAGGGTTAGGGGGTGGTACATGCAAATTTGGTGAGACAAATCCATTGGCAGGAGAGTTATTATGGGCTGCTACAAAAGGAAATGCTTGGGGAAGAAAATGAGGAAGGAAATACGTGTATGGGAGACTAGTAGGAGGTGGGGGTGGAGTATGGATGGATGCAGGGGTATTATTAAGACTAGTTGTAACTGTGCTACTTGCCACAGTAGACGTATTAACACTAGCTGTTGAGATTACTGCTCCGTTTGACTGGACGGCAGCACCTGGATTTGGAGGTGGCACCACACACGGGGACAAATGATAGACATTGGGCATAGGGTCAGGCACTTGCTTGGTGTTAGTTGTGTCCACAGTTTTGGAGCCAAACTTCCCACTTCCTACTGTTGTCACAGTAACACTGGAATGGCCAAGATAGGTGACAAAACTGCGTGCTGTTGTAGTAACAGATGCACCTCCAGAAGTTATCAAAGGGAACTGATAAAAAGTCAAGCCACCAGAAAATGAGACTGGGGGATTCACAGTTCGTTCAGGAGTGCTGTTATGAGATCGATGAGGAGGATTTGAAGGAAGAAATGCCAGATGATTTCTGTTGATCTGACTGTTCTCTATGATGATTGTTCCAGCTCCAATGTGTGTGGGAGTAGCTGCAGCTCTTGTAAACAATGGCAAAGAGTTGGGCTTTGGAGGATGTATATCAGGAGATGGAAAAAGAAACGGAACAGTCATTCCGTAGTTTGTCACATTTTTGAGACTATCACCCCCTTCACGTCCATTTAAGTAACAATCATCCTTTTCTGCAGGCTTCTTGTTATGCTTGGAATGAAACCCACCTTGCTGTGCTCTGTTGTATGGACTGTTAGATGTTTTAGAAACACCTTCTACATTTCTAGCATTGTCTGATTTTTGGACTGGATGTCCTACAAGAAAGAACAGTTATGCCACAGTAAGATATTTCTCTTTAAACTTTAATTTTTTTTATCCATCATTGAATTAATGCTTGGAATAAAAAACACTGAAATCTTTCTAAAATATTAACAAAAGAGAAATTTCTCTGACAAAATGAAATACATATAAATGAAGAGAATTACGGTATGAAAACATACAAGCCTACACTAGGTAACAATACCAAATCCATTACCAGCTGAGGACTTGGTTGATAATACAGACTGTCCCCCAGTGGAACTTTGTGTTTTTTGTTGTGCAAAATAGCTTAGTTGATTTTTGTAAATACCCAAACTTCTGTACTCTGTAATTCCAGAAGAGTTTGAGAATGATCAGCTTTTCAGCTAAGTTTAGCACAAAGTTTGTCTTTACATCTTAGTGGGATGAATTATGAAATGAAAACAAAATCTATACCATCTAAGAATGACCCAAATTGGAATTTTCATCCTGAATGTGCCTTTTGTATATGGGAGTAACAACAATATACTGCTTGTAACATAATCTTTGAACCTTTTAAATCTTAAATATAGCTACAGTACAAAGAAATAAGAAGAATAAAAATAATTCATACTGAAAATTGTAATAGCATGTATAATTATTATTCAACCGAACACCTATTCTGAGATCAGCAGGAACAAATGTCAAATTAAGATTCAGTTCCATTCATTGGGGTTTAAGTATAAGTATAGCTGTCCCTAAGTTTGAACTACTGAAGAGAATAAGTTTGACCAGTCAACAGCACCAATCAATATGGGAGTAACAAAGTGAGTAACAACAATAAACTGCTTATAACAATCTTTATATATACAGTACGAAACAAAGAGGTCATATGACCGGATATTGTTGCATGATTTAAATGAGATATCTTGGCACTGTTTAGAGTAGGGTTGTTTTGTTCAATTAAGATGGGTTCCTTAAATTTTCGTTTGTCTATGT